ATCATAGGAGGCCCTTTGTGTGCTCCCTCCATGAGAGGGCTGGTGTGTGGCAACACAAGAAAGGGCCTTTTCTGCGGTGGGTGGATCCCCAGTTGTGGAATGCTCTCCCCAGGGAGGCTTGCTTGGTGCCTTGGTTACATATCTTTAGGTGCCGGGCAAAAATCTTTTCTCACAGGCATTTGGTTAATTAAACAATCTATGTTCTTCTGTTTCTGTGGCGGGTTATTGTTTGTTACTATGTTATGTGTTTTGCGTTTTTATATTGTAAACTGCCCTGTGGTCTTCGTATGAAGGGCAGTATAGAACTTTAATATAAATAAATAAAATAATGTGGTTGTCGGTATGCTTGATTAGAGAAAAACCATTGCTGTCTTTGATTAGTAACATTACAGTGGTACCTTGGGTTACATACGCTTCAGGTTACAGACTCCGCTAACCCAGAAATATTACCTCAGGTTAGGAACTTTGCTTCAGGATGAGAACAGAAATCATGCTCCGGTGGCGCGGCGGCCCCATTAGCTAAAGTGGTGCTTCAGGTTAAAAACAGTTTCAGGTTAAGAACGGACCTCCGGAACGAATTACAGTGGTACCTCAGGTGACATACGCTTCAGGTTACATACGCTTCAGGTTCCAGCACTTAAGAGAACCCCTTTTTGGATTTTTTGTGTGAAAAGGAAAATTAATGTATTTGAAACATTTGGGTCTGAAGACTGGGAAAAATCTTGCTTAATAGAAAGCAGAACAGTTGGTCCAGCTTTCTGTTGCGACCCTTTGAGGAGCCCAATGTGCCAGTGCCGCATGTGTGAAATCACGTGTGTGTAATGTCACACACATGTGACCCCCCCCCAATGTTAGATGCAACATGGCGCCTCTGTTGGCTATTAATCACGATGCATATGTATGTGTAGTGTTTTGCAATCTATACATCTTAAAGCTTCTCAACACGATGTCCCACTCAAATGTGATCAAAGCTGTGTACGCACTAACTTGTTTGTAGCACAAACATGTATTTTTCTCCACGCAAAAGCATTCATGCTTGTTCTCAATGTCAGTCTAGGTTGATTCTAGATCCTGGCATCCATGAGTGGGTATGGTTAATAATAATAATAATAATAATAATAATTTATTATTTATACCCTGCCCATCTTGCTGTCGACCACAGCAAACTATGGCAAGTTCTTAAAGAAATGGGAGTGCCTGATCACCTCATCTGTCTCCTGAGAAATCTCTATGTGGGACAAGAAGCTACAGTTAGAACTGGATATGGAACAACTGATTGGTTCAAAATTGGGAAAGGAGTACGACAAGGCTGTATTTTGTCTCCCTGCTTATTTAATTTATATGCAGAATACATCATGCGAAAGGCTGGGCTGGATGAATCTCAAACTGGAATTAAGATTGCCGGAAGAAATATCAACAACCTCAGATATGCAGATGACACAACCTTGATGGCAGAAAGTGAGGAGGAATTAAAGAACCTTTTAATGAGGGTGAAAGAGGAGAGCGCAAAATATGGTCTGAAGCTCAACATCAAAAAAACGAAGATCATGGCCACTGGTCCCATCACCTCCTGGCAAATAGAAGGGGAAGAAATGGAGGCAGTGAGAGATTTTACTTTCTTGGGCTCCATGATCACTGCAGATGGTGACAGCAGCCATGAAATTAAAAGACGCCTGCTTCTTGGGAGAAGGGCAATGACAGGCCTAGACAGCATCTTGAGAAGTAGAGACGTCACCTTGCCAACAAAGGTCCGTATAGTTAAAGCCATGGTTTTCCCAGTAGTGATGTATGGAAGTGAGAGCTGGACCATAAAGAAGGCTGATGGCCGAAGAATTGATGCTTTTGAATTATGGTGCTGGAGAAGACTCTTGAGAGTCCCATGGACTGCAAGAAGATCAAACGCATCCATTCTTAAGGAAATCAGCCCTGAGTGCTCACTGGAAGGACAGATCGTGAAGCTGAGGCTCCAGTACTTTGGCCACCTCATGAGAAGAGAAGACTCCCTGGAGAAGACACTGACGCTGGGAAAGATGGAGGGCACAAGGAGAAGGGGGCGACAGAGGGCGAGATGGTTGGATAGTGTTTTCGAGGTTACCAGCATGAGTTTGACCAAACTGCGGGAAGTAGTGGAGGACAGAGGTGCCTGGCGTGCTCTGGTCCATGGGGTCACGAAGAGTCGGACACGACTAAATGACTAAACAACAACAACAACCCTGCCCATCTGGCTGGGTTTCCCCAGCCACTCTGGGTGGCTCCCAACAGAATATTAAGAACACAATAAAACATCAAACATTAAAAACTTCATTAAACAGCGCTGCTATTTAATGTCTTCCAAAACACAGATAGTTGTTTATTTCCTTGGCATCTGATGGGAGTGCGTTCCACAGGGTGGGTGCCACTACCGAGAAGGCCCTCTGCCTGGTTCCCTGTAACTTGGCTTCTCAAAGCGAGGGAACTGCCAGAAGGCCCTCGGCACTGAACCTGAGTGTCCTGGCAGAACCATGGGGGTGGAGACGCTCCTTCAGGTATATTGGACTGAGGCTTTAAAGGTCAGCACCAACACTTTGAATTGTGCTTGGAAACGTACTGGGAGCCAGGTTACTTGATATGCATTTGATATGCCTCCCTTTGATTAGGTTATCCCTACCTCCCTGTAAGGTGGCGCTGTGGGTAAAAGCCTCAGCGCCTAGGGCTTGCCGATCGAAAGGTTGGTGGTTCGAATCCCCGCGGCGGGGTGCACTCCCGTTGCTCGGTCCAGCGCCTGCCAACCTAGCAGTTCAAAAGCACCCCCAGGTGCAAGTAGATAAATAGGGACCGCTTACTGGCGGGAAGGTAAACGGCGTTTCCGTGTGCTGCGCTGGCTCACCAGATGCAGCTTTGTCACGCTGGTCACGTGACCCGGAAGTGTCTCCGGACAGCGCTGGCCCCCGGCCTCTTGAGTGAGATGGGCGCACAACCCTAGAGTCTGTCAAGACTGGCCCGAATGGGCAAGGGTACCTTTACCTTTACCTCCCTGTAGGTGCCCCAGGTAAAGGAAGAAGTGGTCTTCACTGTGATCTTGCTGCACACCCACCCACACCTACATCTGTTTTCAAATGGACTCACTGCAGGCATGGGCGGAACCAATATTTATTTGTGGGGGGGGGAGGACACCCACCTGTCATCATCCTCTGTTTGGAAAATTCAGAATGGAATGTCTCAAAAGCAGTTATTTTAAATTACTTTCTTTTGATCTCAGAAAAATCTGTCAAAATCTTTCTACAATTTCTGCTTTTAGTTAAGTATTTTTATTTATTTACTTGATTTAGTGGAGGCAGCTCCTCCGCTCCCCCCCCCCCCCAGCTATGCCCATGACAGCAGTGTAATGCTGACTCAATCTGCAATGAGCTTTTTCTTCTGGAAATAAAACCAGTTGCTTAAGAAGCACTTTTCAGAACCAGAAATATGCAATAGCTCTAGATGGTGTGAGTACTACATAAAAAGCACATCCAAGTACTCGGTTTCTGTTGGTTCTAGAATAAAATGTGTATACAGAGCCTTGGATTCCCATCTGGAAGTAAGTTTAGTTAAATACAGTGTTATAACACATACAAAGCACTTTTTCTTTACTAATGTAGCTGAAAGCCCCTATCAGAACCATACAAATGTGATCCCCTATGGTCCCCAATAGCTCCAATTGGTTTCTCTGGAACAAAATTTATCTTTATTATTATATATGGCGCCTTCAGAGCCCATGATGGGGAAAAAGTTTATAAATAGTTTTCTTCCGTATTTCAGGTGCTAGGATCTCAGCAGTTCTCGATACCTTATGCATGCTATCATAGGCTTTCCCGCAAAATAATGAGCAAGATCAGCTGATGTTTTCCTTCTCTGTGTACATGGGGGAAGCTTAACGGGCAACCTTTCTAAGCGTGCAAGGTTGAATTGGGATGAGTGGTGCAGGAAAGGCACTCTGCACATGTACAGAGATACTCTTTGTCATCCTATATACTGCAAACCTCAACTCAGGTTTTGGAAACCCAAAGCTCAAGTCACTTCTGTCAGCTATTATGCCTGTTTCACATTCATGAGTATTATACATATATGCAAGAGTTACGACCTCTAGTGGTTTTTAACCGCACAAATGTAACTTCAGCTCAAAGGTAAACCTGATTGAACGGCGACAATCGTCCAGGCAATCTGCGGGGGGCTAGCTGTATGTTGCTGGCTTTATTTCAAAACGCGTAGCAGATACTCTCTTTATTAACGCTACACATCTCCATAGGGAGGAGCTTAAACCACTTTGAGGTTGCTCGCTCTCGCTCTCTCCCCCCTCCCCCAATAAAGCAGCAGTGTATAAAGTTTGCGAAAGCAGGTTTGGATTGGATAGCCCAAGCCAGTAGGGCACAAGACTCTTAATTTCAGGGGTGTGGGTTCGAGACCCACGTTGGGCAAAAGATTGCAGGGGTTCAGGGCTGCTTAAACTTGGGTCTCCCGTTGGACTACAACTCCCATTATTCCTAGCGACCGGGACTAGTGATCAGGGATCACGGGATTTGTAGTCCCCCAAACAGTTTGGGAAACCCTGAACTAAATGACTTTCGCGGTCCCTTATAACTCCACAGGATAATTCGGGGGGGGGAAAGCAAAATTTAGGTTCAGATGAAGCCTCGCTTTGCTGCCTGCCCAATAATATCGTTCTTTTCTCTTTCTGCCCCAGCCACCCCCGCTCTCTGTTCTCATGGCTTTTAGCAAGCGGCATTTAAAAAACGCGCAGCATTAGCCCCAGCGGCCAATACGGAAGTGCTGCATAGAAATATACCGTACATTGTAATATAAGTTATCCAGCGCAAGGATAACCATTTGGAACGAATCAATAGACGCATTGAAATCAATGGACGAATCAAAGGATGCATTAAGACCACGCGGGGCAGATTCCCTCGCAGATCTGGGGATCTGCGGGGAGGATCTTCCCGTAGGGCAGGCTCTTCTCCCGCCCGCGGAGGGGTTGGGCTTTCCCTTCCCGTGGGGCGGAGATGGTGAGGCTGACGCGCTCTCCGTGCGCCCGGCTCCTCCTCCGGCCGACGCGCGTTACGCTGCCGGGAAGCGTGTTTGCCGTCTCTCCCCACGCCGGCTGCTTCCGAGGCGGCATGGAGAAAAGCCGGGGGACCTTCGGTGGGCCCAGCGCGGACCCGGTGCGCAACTTCGAGCGCTGGAAGAAGAACTACGCCAAGCGCAAGGACCGGCTGCGACAGCAGCGCCAAAAGCAGAAGCGCCCCGCTTGGGAGGTGGAGAAGGAAGGCATCGCCAGGCTGCAGCAGAGTTACTCGCAGGTAAGGGCAGAAAACCCTCCCGGTTCCGTCCCCAGTAGAGCTGGGAGAGACCCCTGGAGAGGCGCTGCCAGTCAGTGCAAGCAGTACGGAGCTAGATGGACGAATGGGCTGAGCCGCGAGAGAAGGCAGCTGGGCGCACAGGGTGCTTTGAAAGCGCACTCCTTCCTTCAAAGGATTCTGGCCGCTGTAGTTTACCCCTAGCGGTGTTCAGGAACTACAGCACCCAGGATCCTTTGGGGGAAGGAGGGGGCTTGCTCCAAATGTGTTTTGGAGTGGTTTTCAAAATTCCTCCCCTCCTCCGGGCCACACTTTCAGAATAAAAATTTGCTCGCTGATTATTATTTTTATTGATAAAAAATGCACTGGGGAACGAAAAACAACAACTAGATTTGGAAAAAAGACATCTATCCATATTCTGCAAATAAAATTATTTTGATACTAATATAACACACTGAAATGTTTTATGTGTTCCAGAAGACAAAGCGGGTGGCGCTGTGGGTTCAACCACAGAGCCTAGGACTTGCCGATCAGAAGGTCGGCGGTTCAAATCCCCACGACGGGGTGAGCTCCCGTTGCTCAGTCCCTGCTCCTGTCAACCTAGCAGTTCGAAAGCACATCAAAATGCAAGTAGATAAATAGGTACCGCTCCAGTGGGAAGGTAAACGCCATTTCCGTGTGCTGCTCTGGTTCGCCAGAAGCGGCTCTGTCATACTGGCCACATGACCCGGAAGCTGTACGCCGGCTCCCTTGGCCAATAAAGCGACATGAGTGCCGCAACCCCAGAGTCGTCCGCGACTGGACCTAATGGTCAGGGGTCCCTTTACCTTTTATAACACACTGAAATGTTTTAAGTGTTCCAGAAGACAGAGGGGGCAGGGGGACCAGTAGACAATAAACGCTCCTCCACCAACAGCAATAGAAATGTAAAAAGCCACATTTTAGCAGTTACTGGAAGGCATATGCAGATGTTGGGGGCCAGGCAGACTTCCCTGGGGAGGGCATCAAGTGCTAGTACCAACCTGGCTTGCCTCCATTGGAAGGTGGACTCATAACAGGATGTCCGATTACTGGTACATGAAGTGTAGAGGGTTGGAAAAGGTGTTCCTTGGAGTTCCCTGGCCTTGTTTCGGATGAGGGTGCGGAAGGATGGAGTGTAGTTCCTATTAAGGAAGTAAAAATACAGATTGGATCACATATATTAGTTTTTGGGGGTACTAATTGGTACCAGGGTTTGAAACTCCCATTATTCTAGGCGTGTTTTGCAGCAGGGAATTTCATTAGCACGAGCAGTTTCTGAGCTTTGGGTGCAGTACTGCGCTTAAGATTTCGGATTAAAACTGCAAAGTGGAAGGAAAGGAGAACCTTTTTCTGCCTCCCCACTCCCAGCTACTCTCTGAAGACAGGAGAATAGACCCTCTTAAGAATGTTAAGGGGGTGGGCAGGAGAAAGACTAGACCAGGGGTCTGCAACCCGTGGCTCCGGAGCTGCATGTGGCTCTTTTACACCTTTGCCGCGGCTCCGGGGCGGATACTAGCGAGGGGAGGAGGCGCATTGTGCGCCCCGACACTCTCCACTGTGGCAGGCGCTGTACTGGCTGTGACGTCGCATGGGGGCGGTGCGTGCGTTAGTCACGCACCGTCCCGACGTCACCTTCCCGCCCGCTGTCAGATCGCGGCTCCAGAGATATATTTGTTTTAAATGTCGCAATGGTTTTGCGGCTCCCAGTTTTTTCCCCCTTCAGAAACGGGTCCAAGTGGCTCTTTTTGTCTTAAAGGTTGCAGACCCCTGGACTAGACCATGTGAAAAATGAACATATTTTAGCTGCAGTTCATTCATTTTTCAGCTTTGTAATCCTGTTATTAAAAAGTGCGCCTAGACATTCCGTTGTTGCGCCCTAGCCTAGGCTTAAGGTTCTGTTTACCTCCTACCTTTCATATCTCATTTTCTAACACTGCTTGGCAATGCTGGGGAAACCCAGTCAGATGGGCAGGGTAAAAATAAATAAAATATTATTAGGTGCCTGGAACCTCTGGACTCTTGTATCGCTGGGAGATTGGAGTTGGGTGCAATAATATAAAAATGTGATAGAGCACTTGGTGTTCCTTGGGCTTGCATGCCTTTGTGTTATGAACCAAGAAGGTCTATGTACACATGCAAATACTTTGAACAAATACAGTTGTGCAATTTCTTTGTGAAAGGTGTTAGTGTTTAACAGTAGTGGCCAGTCTTCTATAACACGTGAGCGAAATCTAAAGCACAGGGTTGTATCTAATATATTCCCCCCCTCTTGTTTGCCTCATTTGCTGGTGTGATGTGGGGTGGAATCCCCCCCCCCCCCCGAAACCTATGTTTCAATCAATAAATCATTTTATTTGTATGTCACCTTTCCGTAGTTAAAGGCATGCTTGAGGCAACTTACTACATGGGGAAAAACATAATTCAAAACATAACGAAAGTAGTCATAAACAATAATAGCACAGCAATAAACTATACCACCAAATTGAACAACATAAATCGTACTATAGATACAAACAATTCATAACTTTTAACAGCAACAACCCCCACCAACAAAACCCTCTATGCAACATCCTAGCCTAAGAGTCTGTTCGGCAGCCTCAGCTACTACTACTACTACTAATATGATCCATGGGTCCTTCTACACTTTCCTCTCTTTCAACTACAGATCTCTCCTACCTGTAGCTTGTGAAGTGGATGGAGTTGGACTTTTCCTCTAGGAAGGAGATTTTGCTGCTGGGTCATGTGCACCTGGTTCTCCCTTTTCCTGTCCTGTGTGCATGATAGAAAGCCTGTTTGCTGGCTCCCTTTTACAGCGATTTTATTTACTGTATTTTCTGGCGCATAAGACTACTTTTTAACCCAGGAAAATCTTCTCAAAAGTCGGGGGTCGTCTTATACACCGGCTACAGCAGCAGCTCCTGCAGCAACTCCCCACCAAAGGATAAAGCGACAGCAAATTAAATCAGAGGGCACCAAGCTCTCTAGATGAAGCAGAAATACACTTGAAAATTAGCCCCAGAAGCCCTCAGCCACTGGGAAGTGGAGCGGATTTCTGAGCTGGACTGGAGACTGGTTTTTTTAAATTTTTATTTGGTGTGCGTTGGAAGAGGGGTACAGTGGTGCCTCGCAAGACGAATGCCTCGCAAGACGGAAAACCCGCTAGACGAAAGGGTTTTCCGTTTTTGAATTGCTTCGCAAGACGAATTTCCCTATGGGCTTGCTTCGCAAGACGAAAATGTCTTGCGAGTCTTGCAATTTTCCCCCCGCTTCCCCTCCCCTTTTTCTAAGCCGCTAATAGCCTTTTAGCAGCTAAGCCGCTAAGCCTTTAATAGCCGCTAAACCGCTTATAGCGCTAATCCGCTAAGCCGCTAATAGGGTTGCTTCGCAAGACGAAAAAACTGCTAGACGAAGAGAATCGCGGAACGGATTCTTTTCGTCTTGCGAGGCACCACTGTAGTCTTATACGGCGAGTATATCCCAAACTCTATATTTTAACTGGAAAAGTTGGGGGGTCGTCTTATACACCGGAAAATATGGTACTTATTTACTGTATTACTGTTTTGCCCAATAACAAGAGTTCTCTGGGCAGCTTCCAGTAACGTTGAAAGCATTAAAATGCAATTCTGCACCATAAAACAAATAAAAATGCAGCATATAGCTGCTGCAGGAGCAGCAGCGAACGAAATTGTTCAGTAACAAAACTCTCAAAATGCCACAACCAACAATATTTAATTTAGCTCAATCTTAAAATGAAAAATCTGGGTTTTTAATAAAGTTCTTAGCTTGTTGCTGTACAGGCCACAAATCTTTTCCCAGTCTTTTTTTCATGGGAGGCTGCTGATGTACTCAAAGCACCCTATGTTTACCATGAATTAATGCTACTGTCATTTCAAATACCAGTACATTAAGTTGTTTTTTTTAATTATTGAATTATATTGCAAATACATACAAATCAAAACTTTTAAATGTGAAAAGAGGAAAAAGGATTTTAAAAGGTTACAAAGAACAAAAAAAGAAAAAGAAGAAATCTAAATAAATTACATAAACTAATACAATTAAATCTTAATGAAGATAAGAAAAAAATCATAGATGGAACAGCGTTAACTCATTCATTATTAAACTAAGACTTTGCAAACCAAATACATACACTTTAAACAGTTACCTTTGACATATTGTCTGTTTTCCTAAGAAGCTGACACTTCTTAGGTATTTCATTTTTCATATTCTTTTGTTCTTTGGACTTCCGTCAGTCTCATGGCAGTTCAATATTCCTAATTAAAACTAACTTAGCTGTATTTCAGTACATCCCTCATCTTGGTATCAGGGAGCTTTTTACCTTTGCGGGGTTATTCTAGACACAACCAGATTTTCACTGCTGAACCTTGACTCTTCAGATATTTATTTAGGTACTCCCATTCTTTCTTACCTGTATTATTTGACTCGTCTCTTATTATATCTGTCAGCTGTGCGAGTTCCAAGTACTCGCTCAGGTTACACAGCCATTCCTCTTTGGTGGGTTTGCGTTCCTCCTTCCAATATTTAGCCACCAATACTCTTGCTGCTGACGTAGCATAGAAAAATAGTCTTATTTTATCTTTAGGGAAATTGTTTGTCAAAATTCCCAGAAGAAATGCTTCGGGTTTTTTTTGTAAAATGTGGTTCTTAATAATTTTTTTCAATTCCTCATAGGTCATGTCCCAGAATTTCTTCATCTCTTGGCATGCCCACCACATATGGTAGAAGGTTCCTGCTTGATTTTTGCATCTCCAACACTTATTATTATGGGTTTTATTGATTTTTGCCAGATTTACAGGGGTCAGATACCACCTGTATTGCATTTTCATAAAATTCTCTCTTATTAAATAACAAGCTGTAAATTTTAAGTTTTAAGATCTAGTTTCCACCGCTCTTCATGTACAGAGTTATTGAAGCCAGTACATTCTCAGCCAATGGTTCTGAAACGTCCCTTCCCTGAACCCAGCACCTCTTTTTTCAGACAGACTTTTTTAAAAAAGCTCCCACTCAAATGAAAGCTATGTGACTAATTTCCATTTTGATGATTGCTCTGCATGGCAATAATACAGTTTTGAAACTGTGGCATCATGAGCAGTGCTGAGAGAAACCTGTAGAGTGCAAAAACGGCAGCCGCTTTATATGTATATATATCCCAAGAGTAGAAATGATTAGGCAAATTTGTAATGAAGATATAGATGTGCGCGTCAAGAGTTCTAAGCGAGGCAGGTCTGTAATCAGCTTTTAAAAAATCTCTGCAGATAGACTCCTAATGCAAATTAGACGCCTCATTTTGGGGGAGGGAAGTAGCAGGTTGAAAAATGTGGCGATGGCATCGCTTCCTCTTCGTATTAAAAAATCACACATAAGACGTGCACCCTCTCATCTAATTACTTTCAGGGAAGCTGTGAATATTAGAGTTGGATGCAGTTACTGTAGGTATATTTAGATGATGGCTTTGATTGAAGTGAGATGTCTGGGTTGTATGTACAAACCAGGAACAGGTGGCCTCTGGGAACATGGCAAGAGCTATACAGTATTTCTTATGATTGCTATATTCCCCGCCCCCCCCCCCCGAGATGTTGGCCTTACATTTCCAAGTGTTGCTACACAGCCATTAAGTAAAAGGTAAAGGGACCCCTGACTGTTAGGTCCAGTCGTGGACGACTCTGAGGTTGCAGTGCTCATCTCACTTTATTGACCGAGGGAGCCAGCGTACAGCTTCCGGGTCATGTGGCCAGCATGACTAAGCCGCTTCTGGCGAACCAGAGCAGTGCACGGAAATGCCGTTTACCTTCCCGCCAGAGTGGTACCTATTTATCTACTTGCATTTTGACGTGCTTTCGAACTGCAGGAGCAGGGACCGAGCAACAGGAGCTCACCCCATCGCAGGGATTTGAACCGCCAACCTTCTGATTGGCGAGCCCTAGGCTCTGTGGTTTAACCCACAGCGCCACCCGCGTCCCATAGCCATTAAGTAGGGAACTGCAATTTTGGCCTGGCCTAAGAATCAGGAAGTCGAAAACCACTGCAGTCTAAGATTGCTAGTGATCTCTAGTTTATTAAGGAGCAACAAACCAGGTGTTGGGTTTGACTGACATGGAAAGCCACGCTTAATTGCGACGTCTTGGTTTGTGCCTTCCCCTTGTTTCAGGGGAGCGGTGATTGTGCAGTGTGCCACTAGCAGGCTGCTTGTTCCCAAATAAACTGTGACAAACCAACAACTCTTTTTTCCCAACTCTGATGTGAGAATCTCTCTCACGGCAACTAATTCTGTGTAATTAAGAAATTTGGGAGGGGACTGAGTTGACAGATCCTCTTGTTTAATAATCTAAACGAGATCCTTTCAGATTTCACTTTTCTTTGCTTATTTTCAGATAAATGCAAATGAGGTTGTAAGATTTTCGGATTTTCCATTATCTAAGAAAACACTGAAAGGTAAGCACAATACTTTAGCAAGAATCTCTATGGCAGTTATTAGCCTACAACCTTATGCCAGGCATTTTCTGCTCCCAAAAATATTTTATAAACGTTCCCTTCTTAGTTGCTTAGTTGCATGGTTATTTTTTTACTTGCCTATAAGTAACCTGGCAGCAGTTATGTACAAGCCTGCATGATTGAAGAAAGCATATTAACAGCAAAATAATAAATGCTGCCTTAGTCCAGAGTGAAATTTCCTGTGTGCAAGTCTCTTCTGAATAGGGCAGAAACCTCCAACCCACAGAAGGGTCCTAAAGCCCGTTTTCCCCAAGCCACTGCCATCTGCCATCATAAGTAGCATCAGGTATGTGGCAGGAAAAGATGTTGTTGCAAAAATCTTCGGGCTGAAGGAAGACTCCACGCAGCAATGAAAAAGGAAAGGTGTTTATTTAGTGCTAGCTAGCAGAATATCTTAGAGGAATTATTTCCAAAGTCTGAGCCCAGAACACAGGGCTAAAATACCTTTTATAGTTCACTATGTATCAATTAAATCATACTATACATTATCCAACTAATCACCACCTGCCCAGTAATAGCTTAACTGTTGCTTTCCAACTATGTATTTATTTTCCAACAGTTTTCCTAACGTGTGATACCCTTATTTGGTGTCCTAGGGTACATGTCAACTTCATATAATTATATATTCTGCTCTAATATTCTTAACTTGTTAATAACTTTGAGTGACATCGCTGCCTCAAAGTGTCGAGGATCAACTGCATGTGGAGAGATCCAGTTTGGACAACTGGACAGATCCCTTTTCCCACCCCCCAGTGTAGGGCCTTGCAAGAATCCCATGTGGCGTTTGCCATGTGTGATAAATGCACACTTCTAAGGTGCACATATGGGGTGAATTGGGCCCTTGCACATTGATTACACATGGTGAACGATGTGCAAGATCTAGTGAATGTTCTTTGCCTTCGACTCTAGCCATATTTCATACACAGGCTTGCAAAGCAGTTCACATAAATATTTACCAGTATGCATGCCCTTCAGTTATTTTTAACATGCTGAAACTCCGAAACTGCAGCCACCCACCTCTCTGGTCTTTTTTCAGTTTATAAAACATCCCTTGCCTTAGTTGCTAAGAGATTATTCTCTACTCATCTCAGGTAATTGGAGGATGGGAAGTTCAGATGAACCTTCTCACATGTTGGATAGAGATTGAAGTACCTTTCAGATGTTGTGGATTGTAACACTCATGATCCGCAGCCAGGAGTGATGGGAGTTGTAGTCCACAACATCTGGAGGCAACCATGTCGGCTACCCTTGTGTTAAAATAACAAGCTAGGGCAGTGGTCCTCAAGCTTCTTTCTCTGGGCAACTTCATTATCTTGCACCACACCAAATTATAATAAATACACTGGAAAACAAACAAACAAAAATCACAACTAGGATTGGCCTCAGGATCACTTGACACTCTTGCTCTCCTACTGCATCTACCTGTATTCTGAAAATTAAGAAATATTTCGATTTGAATACAATACTCCGCTGAAATGTTTTAACGTTTCTTTGATTGTCCTTGAATCTTCCTGCCACACTTGCCATCCTCTCCTTTCACATCAGTGTGGTGCGCCTCACCCTTTGAGAACCACCAAGGGCTTGTGGACTAGCCCCTGAACCCCATCAGCAATTGTGAGAATGGTCCTATAGCTGTGTACATTGGGCTTCTCCATTTCAGAGCTGGGGGGTGGGGTGGCGTAGGCTTTAGGTCAACCAGAGCATCCTCCTTTCACAGAAGAGCAGTATTAGTACATGTGTAGGCCTACTTCTCACAGCGGCTGAATGCAGCCAGTGGTGGCAGCACTAGGTCACATACCACCACCACTGGACTCTCACATGCTTTTAACATGAGAGTTTCTCTCTCCCCCCCCCCCCCTGGTGAATGGTTGATTCCAAGCAGGTTGATATATATATATATGGTCTTCCTCACACCAGGACTGCAGGAAGCTCAGTATCGCATGGTGACTGAAATCCAGAGGCAGACCATAGGTTTGGCCTTGCAAGGTAAAGACGTATTGGGAGCTGCGAAGACTGGATCTGGCAAAACGTTGGCTTTCATTGTACCTGTAAGTAACGGATCTCATAATTTCATATTCTACTGTAGGCCCAGGAGCAGCCAATATGATGCCCTTTTGGTTGTGGAGTGCCAAATCCCATCAGCCCTAGTGAGCTTGGCCAGTGACTATGGGCATTGCAGTCCTGATTTTTCTTTTCCCCTTAAATATATATATATATTCGCCAAGTGAAATTTATAGGGCTTCTAACTGGTATTTTTGTCACTGTCCAGGCTCTGGAAATCTTATACCGTCAGCAGTGGACTCCCATGGATGGACTGGGAGTTCTGATCATATCGCCGACCCGAGAGTTGGCCTACCAAACGTTTGAGGTTCTGCGTAAGGTGGGGAAGAATCACGAGTTCTCAGCCGGCCTTATCATTGGTGGAAAGGTATGTTCCTTCCATATTTTTTTTTAAATACAGGATCTCCCCCTACCGCTCCCTCTATCTAACCCATAAGGATTGCTTATGGTTTGAAAATTATACTGGGATGCTGTACTAAGTGACTGGGAAGTAATTTTATTAGAACCTGGTGCGACATATTTCCAAGGAAATGGGTTCCAAGGAAACATTGGCACATACATACCCCCATTTAAAAAGCATGGGCCATGCGCTGACTGAAATGTACAGCCTTTCAAGAAAGCTCTGTATTGATTTTCCACCATAATGGCACGTATTTCCCATTGAAAGCTGTCCCAGTGAAGTGAGTTGTCACAGGCTTGCCTGAATATGCTTTGATTCTGATTTTGGTGTCCCTCTGGATGATGGATGTCCCACAGAGTCTTGATGCATGTAAGCAAGCTTTGATGGAGTCACTGAAAATGTCCCAAGTAGAGGCAGTGATTTGGTTTTATTGGAAAACTCTGAATTTGAAAAGTTCAGTCTGTGTCGGAAAACTTGGATGCCTTAGAGAACGACCTAAGCATGTTCATTTACTTGTACTTAAACAAATTGAAGTGTTTTGAAGCTGCCACTCTTGCCTAATAATGTATTTGCAATTGGCATTCATTCCCAGTTACTTACGGACTTGTGAAATGGAAAAATAAAGCACTGAGAAATTTTCTTCCTTGCATTGTTAGAGGCTGCTACATCTCTAAAGGTGGCTCTGAGTTGTGGCTTGTCGTGTAGATAGAGTTTTTCTGTGTGCCACAAGACACACAGTTTGAAATCGCTCAGGGGTGTGTGTGTGTGTGGATGCGACATAACCGTATATTCTGAAATCATGCCCTCAAACCTGTCTGATATTTCAGGACCTGAAACAAGAATCGGAAAGAATCCACAATATAAACATACTGATATGTACTCCGGGACGGCTTTTACAGCACATGGACGAAACATCATATTTCCATGCCTGCAATCTGCAGATGTTGAGTAAGTGAAATGCTTCAATTTATTTTCTATCTATTTTTTTGCTTTTACTGAATAGGCTTAATCAGAAATCTGTAAATGGTCCAAAATGCTTGCACTGGAAGCCACTGCCCAGAGCTGAAACTCCATTAAAGCACGCAGAGGATGAACTGGGGTTGTAACTTCCGTGCTTGATCTTTGTAACATACAAAGCCTTTCCATGAATTGGAAGTGAATGGGAAGAACCTGTTCGTGCTCCATTATTTGGTTCCATTTTTTGTTGATCCGCAGACAGGACTTCTACTAAATGCATTGCAAATAAATACATTAAACACTGAAAAAGTGTTTGGTTGGTGGGGCAGTGGAGAGGTGAGCAGGCCAGAAGACCAAATCAGTGCTCCGTGCACAGATGTGGTTCGGTGCACTTGGATAAGCTAGTCCCCATTTTATTTATTGCTTTTGTAGTCCTCTTCTTTGCCAGCGTGTCAGAGTTGGTCTGTCATTTTAGAACACACACAAAATGAACAACTTCAATAAAAGCAGCATAACAATAGGTCAGGCTGCTGTAAGATTCCCCACCCTGGGAACAGGTAACCTTAAGTTCTTGGTCTAGGCAGGCACACACATACTTAGAGCTCTTGGAATATTATAATTATAATAATTAATTTATTATTTATACCCTTTCCATCTGGCTGGGTTTCCCCAGCCACTCTGGGCGGCTTCCCAACAGAATATTAAAAACACGGGTAAAACATCAAACATTAAAAACTTCCCTAAACAGGGTAACCTTCAGATGTCTTCTAAAAGTCAGATAATTGTTTCTTTCCTTGACATCTGATGGGAGGGTGTTTCCACAGGGTGGGCGCCACTACCGAGAAGGCCCCTCTGCCTGGTTCCCTTTAAAACTCACTTCTTGCAATGAGGGAACTGCCAGAAGGCTCTCGGAGCTGGACCTCAGTGTCCGGGCTGAATGAAGGGGGTGGAGACGCTCCTTCAGGTATACTGGGCCGAGGCCGTTTAGGGCTTTAAAGGTCAGCACCAACACTTTAAATTGTCTTCGGAAAATTACAGGGAAACAATGTAGGTCTTTCAGGATTGGTATGGTCTTGGCGGCCACACCCAGTGTGGTCTTGGCGGCCACACCCAGTCACCAGTCTAGCTGCCGCATTCTGAATTAGTTGTAGTTTCCAGGTCACCTTCAAAGGTAGCCCCACATAGAGTGCATTGCAATAGTCCAAGCGGAGATAACCAGAGTGTGCACCACTCTGGCGAGATAGTCCGTGGGCAGGTAGGGTCTCAGCCTGCATACCAGATGAAGCTGGACACAGAATTGACCTGCGCCTCCATGGACAGCTGTGAGTCCAGAATGAGTCCCAGGCTGCGCACCTGGTCCTTCAGGGCACAGTTCCCCCATTCAGGACCAGGGAGTCATCTGCACCTGCCCGCCCCCTGTCCCCCAAAACAGTCCTTCTGTCCTGTTAGGATTCAACCTCAATCTGTTAGCCGCCATCCATCCTCCCACTGCCTCCAGACACTCACACAGGAAAGCTATGAATATGAAAGAATTCTTACATGTGGAAGTAGGCTTGACTGGGGTGTCAGAAGTGTACAGCAGTGGAAGAGCGTGTCTCGGGAGCTTTTGTAAGTGATATTTGAACAGAGGCTGGACGGTCGTCTGTCAGGGATGTTGTAGTTTGCATCCTGCATTGTAGCGGGTTCAATTAGGTGACCTCCCAAGGCCCTGTTTTTGAAGGCTGACCCCAACAAATCCCTTCTTGTGTGTATTTTGGGAGCGAGGCCTTTCATGTGGATAAGCCCCTGCTATCAGTGTGGAAATTAGTTTCAGGCTCTGTCTGAAGGTTAGAAGCTTAGGGGGAGAAAAAAATCCAATTCCCTCCAGCTGGCCTTCTCATTCCCAGTACTTGATGAAGCTGACAGAATTCTGGACATGGGTTTTGCTGATACGATGAACGCAATCATAGAAAACCTTCCCGAGACGCGCCAGACTCTGCTTTTCTCAGCCACACAAACCAAATCAGTGAAGGACCTGGCCCGGCTGAGCTTGAAAGATCCAGATATATCTGGGGTACATGAGAGGCAAAGTTCAGGTAGGAGAATTTTTCTCTATCTAGACTTTGAAGGAAGTAAGGGTAGCTCTGTTTTACTCCATTATGTCCCTGTTTGTGGAAGGGGTGGGATGGAGAGTCATGTTATTCAACCTGAGGGCCTTGGGATAACACAGGCTAGAAAACTGAAGTTGGCGGCGCGCACACACACGCACACACACACACGACAGAGAGAGAGAAGAGAAATTAATTGGGTCACTTGAAGTGTGGTTGTAGAATTCTTTGCTTCAACTCCTGTTCTGTCATTTTAAGTACTATGTGTGCTACAAATCACTGTGATATATAACTTTTTGGCCCTGCGGCAGGGAGCTGTAAGCTGAAGTAAGTATATAAAATAGCCAATTTAAAATAGATGAAACTGGCTTAACTGTGTGACTGTCAAAAGCCAGCCTAAGTTAATTCTCGATTTGATACTCATCTCTCTCCATCACCAAAGGCTTCAACAGGTGACCAGAAAATTTAAAAGATGTAGGATTCAGTTTGTAATTGAATTAAAGACCAGCCCGGCAGCTGAAAACAATAATGCATACTTCTAAGTTTTATTGCATGCTTAGGACTACAGTCCGTGTTCTGCTGACTTTCAATAAATCAGGAGTGGGGAACCAATTTTTTTTGGAGGGGTAAGAGGGCTGCATTCCCTCCTGTGTAGACTTTTGAGGGCTACATGACAGCGGTGGTTTGGATCAGAGGCAAAATGGGCAGAACAACAAATTTATTGTTGTTGTTACAGTGGTACCTCAGGTTACAGACGCTTCAGGTTACAGATTCCGCTAACCCAGAAATAGTACCTTGGGTTAAGAACTTTGCTTCAGGATGAGAACAGAAATCGTGTGGTGGTGGCATAGCAGCAGCAGGAGGCCCCATTAGCTAAAGTGGTACTTCAGGTTAAGAACAGTTTCAGGTTAAGAACAGACCTCCAGAACGAATTAAGTTCTTAACCCGAGGTACCACTGTACAAGTAGAGTAAACAGCAGCAACAGTATAAAAACATGAAAATATACAGCATAGTAACAAACAAAAACAACGTTCCTTTCCCCAATTTAAAAGGCCACTGATAGCTCAGTTAGGCAAAGGCCTGGGAGAAGAGGAGTGCTTTTGCTTGACGCCTAAAGATAGGTAACAAAGGCACCAGGTGAGCCCCTGGGGGGAGAGCATTCCACAAGCGGGGAGCCACTGCGGAAAAGGCCTTGTGTTCTTGTGTTGCCACCCTCTGGACCTCTCATCGTGGAGGCACATGAAGATTGAAGCATCCAGGCCAGCTCATAAGGGGAGAGGCGGTCCTTGAGGCATGTGGTCCTGAGCCACTTAAGGCTTTACAGGTCAAAAGTAGCACTTAGAAATGGACCTGGAGACTAACTGAAGGCCAGTGCAGTTGGGCCTAGATTGGCATTCTATATACCCCCAAGCTATATACTTTCTCCTTCCTGTGGGAGTGTAACCTCATCAAGAGCAGGTCACCTCCCATCCATTCTAGTCCATGACCGCCCACAAAGAGTGCTTCAGTCTTATCCTTCCGTTTGTTGGCTCTCATCCAGCCTGTTATCCAGGCAAGACAATGGTCCAGCGCTTCCACTGCCACACCTGCGGGATGTAAAGGAGAAATAGAGCCGTGTGTCATCAGCATATTGCTGACATTGTACTCCAAAAGTCTGGGTGACCCCACTCGGGTTAAACTGCATGGGGGGATATAACTGAACCCTGAGGCCTCCTTCGTCATACACTGTGCAAGGGGAAAATGACGCGGTGGAAACAGGTGCCAAAATAACTTTGTACTACCCCTCGATCTCGGGACGGAAGATGTGTAAAGGTCACAGCCCAAAATGTATCTTCCTGGCTTGCATATTTGTCTCAATAAAAGGAGGCTCCACAGGACTGGTCAGCAGCTTGCTTCAGCCCACCTGTGCGCAGCTCACATGATGATCAACCCCAGTCTTGTGCCTTCCTTCAGTACACTAGGCTAGTTTCTACACACATTCAGAGACCCCTCTCTAAACTCCATCCAGACAAGTAAGAGGTGCTTTTCATAGATTTCACAGAATTGTAGAGCTGGAAGTATCATCTTGAGTGTCATCTAGTCGAACCTTAGTCTGATTTAATGTGCACTCTTGCAGGGATTTTTATTTTATTTTTTCTGGTGAGCAAACGGTAATGCCTTTGTGATGACACTTCTGTGCTCTTCGGAAAAATCCAAGCGGCTTGATTTGGGACATTAAAACAAAGCACGGATATTTTTAAACGGGAATTACTGCTTTGAGAAATAGTATTTCACAGTTTACCAGAATGAGGGGGTGGGGATTCCGAGCAAGATTAGTACAAGGCAGCGATGTCAGCTGCGTAATTTACGGAGCAATGGGCTGGATCAAATTATTACAGATCACTGCAATTTCGGCAGAGCAACAGCCATCTTCAATAAAACACCGGGGATTTTTTTAAAAAAAAAGGTTTCAGGTTCAACCATGGCAGGCTATAATGAAGTATTTTGCGTAAGTTTTGAGCGTGGCGGGGGATCATTAATTTAAGGCACTTATATCTCAGCAGTGCACAGTCTGATTGGAATGCATCTTTGCATAGGTTCGCCGTGAGTTGTATTGATGCTTTCTGCCAGAGATCAGTGGGAGAGGGTATGATTTGTGCGAAGGAAACCCCTGACCTTTCCAGTTAGAAAAGCATCTCTAGAAAAGACTTCTGTTCCAGACCCTGAAGAGGCAACTGCCGGGTGGAGCAGACAAGCCTTCTCCATCCTGGTGCCCACAACGTGTTTTGGACTATAACTCTCAGGCAGCACATGAATAGATCTATATGATTTAGTACTATTTATTTCATTTGTACGCTGACCTACACATATGTTCTTTGGTTTTAAGTTCTTTGGTTTTAATGACTTATGCCTTGTTTATCTATATTTTGTTCTTAGTTAATTCATGGGTTGTGATTGAGATAGATAGGGTTGTGTATGTGTGTTTATATACACACACACATTTATACATAAGCATACATATTTCATATTCTACTTGTGTTGGCCACCTTGTGCACCATTTGGTAGAAAGGCAGGATGATAAATTGTGCCCAATAATAATGATGATAAATATGTGATTATTATTATTATTTTTTAGTACTCCAGCAACTTTGGAACAGAACTACGTTGTTTGTGAACTGCACCAGAAAATCAATATGTTGTACTCCTTTTTGAGAAGTCATCTGAATAAGAAAAGTATTGTATTTTTTGCAAGCTGTAAAGAGGTATTGAATATCTATAATTCTATCTCTTAACCATTTATAAAAAATGCTTTCACCTTTTCTTTTCTTTTTAAATATCAAGTTAATACCGTTCCTGCCAGGACTTCAGGCGAGGGTCTTGTATCATAAATTAAAGTACCTGTGAGATATTCTCCTGTGCCCAGCAAGCGGGAATATGTTAATAAATACTTTAAAACAGGAGATATTAAAAGTTTGCTATAGCGGGTAAAGGTTTGTGCAGAAGTCCAGCGAAATGTCTTCCTGTTTGAGTCCTGAAGCTGAACATGCAGTTCTACTAGAGATTACAGTGGTACTTCGGGTTACATATGCTTCAGGTTACAGACTCTGCTAACCCAGAAATAGTACCTTGGGTTAAGAACTTTGCTTCAGGATGAGAACAGAAATCGCATGGCAGCAGCGGGAGGCCCTATTAGCTAAAGTGGTACCTCAGGTTAAGAACAGCTTCAGGTTAAGAACGGACCTCCAGAACGAATTAAGTTCTTAACCTGAGGTACCACTGTACACTGAAGTGTCCTCAAGCCAGTGTTTCTGTGTGTCTCTATATCTACCTATCTAAATTTAGGCCTAGTTCATTTACAAGCAGAAGGTGGGATGGTAAATATGCATCCCAAACTGGTACAGCAGGGATTCTCAAACTTTCTACTGTTATAGCCCACTTGAGACAGCTGAGAATTACGGTGGTACCTCAGTTTACAACCTTAATCCATTTTGGAAGTCTGTTCTTAAACCGAAACCGTTCTTAAACCGAGGCGTGCTTTCCCTAATGAGGTCTCCCACTGCCAGTGCCCTGCCACTGTTCGGATTCTGTTCTTAGACCGAGGTAAAGTTCGCAAACTCTGACACTACTTCTGGTTTTGCGGAGTTTGTAAACTGAATAGTTTGTAAACAGGGCTGTTCTTAAACTGAGGTACCACTGTACTGAGGTCCACCGGT